CATCAACTGCTTGTTCTTCTCAGCAGTTTCCAGCTCTCGAATGAGCTTCATCCCCACATCATTGGTCACGTAGGGACAATTGTCACGAACTGTGACTTTCACTTCACCCAGCTTGCCATGTGTGAGAGCGCACCCATCGCGATGCCACCTCATCTTGCATCCATGCTGAGTCAACATTCCCAAAGGCACAATTGGCTGCAGATCATCCTTTGTCAACAACGATCTGCTCATCTTTGACATCCTCAGCTGTGTTTTTCCAGTCGCTGTTTGTACCTCTGTTGGGATCGCCTGCATCCACTCAGTCTCATCATAGGGTCCTCTAAGGATATGCGTGGCCCCTGAGTCCAATAGCACACCTTGATTGCTGTCAGTCACCACCGCCAACACCCTTGGAGTCGTTGACGTTGTTCGCATTGTCTTCAAAAGACTGGCAACTTCACCCATGACTGAGGGTTGAACTTGTTGTTGTACTTGAGCAACTTGAGGCTGCTGTTGTACCTGAGCAACTTGAGGTTGCTGTTGTGTCGGAGCAACTTGAGGTTGCTGTTGTATCTGGGCAACTTGAGGCTGTGAATCCTTTGAAGACTGATCCACTCCCCCGACCGGCTTGTCCCGGTCCTTGCCTTTGCCCTTGTCGTTCTTGCCATCCTTTGTCTTTCCCTTGCCTTTAGGGCTTCCTTTGGAGCTTTTGTCGCCCGGACTTGTCATAACCTTGTCACCAGCGGTGCAGTCTTTGGCAATGTGTTCCAAACTGGAACACTTCCAACATCTCTTCTCCTTTTCGTTGAGATTGTTCCACTCATGGGCATAGGTGCATTTGTCACCCTTGAGGCATCCATAAGGTTTACCCCAATGCTTGCATGCTCCAGCTCCTGCACCATAACCATTGCCTTCTGCATTGTTGCCATAGCCTTTCTTACCAGGAGATCCCTTCTTGCCACCACCCTTGTCACCAGCAGCATTGACCACGTTGATCTTAGGGTTGCCAGAAGTCGGACTTGCCTTTGTCATTGTTCCATGATGCAAGTGATCTGCTTCGGCAATCAACATCTGCAGATAGTTCTCCGCTGTGAGCTGTGTAGGCGCCACATCCACCATATGGGTCATGCGGAAGTTGCTGATGCGAAAGCTCGCTTGATGCTCCCTCGCAATCACTGTCCGCATCACTTCAGAAAGTGCGCTCACCTGCAGCAAGGGATCTGGAACCTGTAGTCCAAGTTCACGAGCTCGCAGGAGTTGACGTCGCCATTGGCGTAGCATCTCACCAGCTTCAGCTGCAGATTTGGCTGCTGTTGTTTGGGTCAAGTTGTTGAGGATGGTGCTTTTCTCATTGAGACCACCAGGTTGATACAGCTTCAAGATGCGAAACACCAGCTGCACGCATGTCATCTCTCGCAAAGAGATTGCTTCTTGTTTGACCGTCTGTGGCACTGCAGCTAACAACATTGACAGCACGCGAGACTCCAACCTGACATACTTGTTCTCCACTTGAAGGTCAGGTTGCACAGCCATGCGATCCATTGGACCTGCTGTCAGCCATGTGGCATAGGCATCTTGAGCTCGTTGTACTAATCCGGTCCACCACACTCTTGCGCCTTCTGAGACATCTGAGATCAGCGGCATCAACTCACTTAACCAATCTCCTGCACGAAGAGCAGCTTGAGGCTCTGACACGTCCTTCAAAATTGGCAGTGTAATTGGCACATTTCTCAGCACCTCAGAAGCTTCGCCATCAGGACTTTTTGCTTGTGGTTGAGGTTGTTGCCATTGCAGTGGCATTGAACCATATTGCATTGGTGCTGCAAACATTGGTACACCATAAGGTCCAACTCCATGTCCTTGAGGCGGTTGTGGTGGTGGTTGCGGAACATAGCCAAAGTCCGCTGGTGGACCACCATGCCTGTGCACCGGTTGCTCCCAGTACTCACCTGTCAACCTTGGTCTTTCTCCATGCATCATCCTGACCTCTCTGTCCAACCATGCAAAACGATCTGCTCCAGGTTGAAGATGATGCTGCTGTTGTGGTTGTTGATCCACTGGAGTCCAAAAATCCTCCAAACCATCAAAACCTGTTCCACCACCCACGTGCTCATCAACTGCAAATGGGTCAAACTGCCATGGTGGAAGTTCTGGAAGATCTGCTACCTCCAATGGTGGTTGTCCCGGCGGAACTTGAGTTCCTCCAGGTGTTGTTCTTGGTGACAGCGAGTAGTACTGAGGTCGGCGCGGTGGTGTCCTTGGTGGTTCCACGCTTGAACTCTTCTTCTTGAGCTCCTTCTGCAACTCCTCATTCTTCTTTTCAAACTCATCACGCTGGCGTTGCAAGTCCTCAGCATACTTCTTCATCTCTTCCTTTTGTTTCTCCATCTCAAGCTTCTGTCTGTGAAGCTCTTCAACCATTGATTGCTCCAAAGCCCGCTTGAGCTCATCACGCTCATCTCTTCCTTGTTGATTGACATCATCCACAAAGGTTCTTGTGCTACAACCTTGTACTCCACCTTGTGGTTGCCGACTTGCCTCACGTGGCATCTGTCGTCTCATCTCATACTGTTGCACTCCCATTGGAACTCTTTCCAAGGGTGATCCATCATCTTGCCGATGACCTCGTCTTTGAGATTGATCTCGCAGACCACTTGGTACTGTTCGATGACCTTGAACTTGACGTCGTTCAGGTCCATAACCATGACTGACTCCTCGGTGGCGTCCAGTCTCTTGCACATTTCCTTCAGACCTTGAGGGTCCATGACGGCTGACTCCTCGATGGTGTCCAGCCTCTTGCACATTAACTTCAGACCTTGAGGGTCCACGGCTGACTCCTCGATGGTGTCCAGCCTCTTGCATGATGTCAGACCTTTGAACTGGTATCTCACCTCCCAGTCCTCCAGTCTTCCCACCTTGTCTTGCAACCCCATGAGATGGTATCTCACCTCCCATCCCATTGGGCCGCACCACTCTTCCTTGACCATGCCCCTTGCCAGAACGTTGCACTTCTCCAGCAAGTAGCCCTGCTGCGACACCTCGATGGTGCCCAACTTGTTCAACACCTTGAGGGTGTTCATCTTGATCGACACCTTGAGAGTGCCTAACTTGCTCGACACCTTGAGGGTGCCTACATTGTTCGACACCTTGAGGGTGTCCAGCACGTTGACCTTGTCCAGCATCTTGAGGATACCGAAGGTCCACACCTTGAGAGTGTGTAAATTGATCGACACCTTGAGGGTGTCCTGCATGCTGACCTTGTCCAACATCTTGAGGATGTCGAAGGTCCACACCTTGAGGGTGTACTTCACGGCGACCTTGTCCAGCATCTTGAGGATACCGAAGGCCTTGACCTTGTCCAGCATCTTGAGGATACTGTCGGTCCACACCTTGAGGGTGTACTGCATGTCGACCTTGTCCAACATCTTGAGGATGTCGAAGGTCTACACCTTGAATCTGTACAGCATGTTGACCTTGTCCAACATCTTGAGGATGCCGAAGGTCTTCATCATCATTTGATGGCATAGCCCCTTGAGTCTGCAAGGCCACACCTCGTCTTGTACTCCAACTTGACGGAGCACTCATTCGTCCCATTGCTAGCGGCTCCAACTCTCGCGACGCGTCTGCATCTTCTATCTCCGGAAGGTCCTCCTTGACTGAGACCTCTTCCCTTGGCGTCCACATCGGCTGCTCCATGGCCAACTGACGTGCTTCTCGTAGGTGTTCTTGCTGAACCCCTGCTGACCACCACGGATTCGGCTCGGTGCCTAAGTCCAACAGGTCAGTGCTCACATCCAGTTCTTGCCGTAGAGCCCCTCCATGTTCGCCTCGTAGTAGAGCTCGTCCTCCACCTTGACCATCACTGCCATTGGGTAGCGCTCCTTGTTCTCCATGCCGAAGGTCTCTGCCATCATGTCCAGCTCGTTCGCCTCCATGCCCTGGTCGGCCTTCTTGATCCAGCCGTAGACCTCGAGGTCCACCTCTACCAGTTGGCACCGAACTCGCTCTAGTCCACGACATGGCAAACGCCCCTTCAGCTGAGCGTTGGGCTCATAACCTGTGCAAGGCAGAGCAGCGCGCCTTTTGATCCTAAAAGAGCCTTCCACAATCGGAAGAGTTGTTGTCAGCAGTTGTCAACTGATATGAACAGATACTGCACTGCATGTCACACTTGTAACCCCTTTTGCACATCTATTTCTAGGGGCCATTTTCCATGGCTATGTTAAATAACCAGAGGGTAGATATCTATGCCGTTTGACATGGATTTTATCATGGATTTTATGGTTTCTTCTTGGTGCCGGGTTCCAAAACAGTCATGACTTTTGAATACTTTTGACACATTTTGAAGAGGAATGGACATTTGATTTCCATAATCAGTGGAATCACATCATGTTCAGCGGCCTCGCATCGAAGAAAAACCTGAGGAGGTTTGGCTTCAAAAAGGGCCTCCAAAGTCACAATTCCAAAGACATTGGGGATAGGCCTAGGAGCTTCGGCAGTGCCTTGACAAATCCTTGACATGCCTTGAATATCCATGACTCCATGAAGTTCTTTCGGTTCGGAAGAGAACCTCTATTGGAAGAAAAAAGTGAGTTTCTGGTTGGTGGTTTGGAACATGAATGGATTATTTTCCATTTCATATATGGATATATATTGGATGTCATCCTTCCCAACTGACTTTCATATTTTCAAGATGGTTATTGCACCACCATCCAGATTTCAGATTGTTTAAGCTGACGAGCTCGGTGTGTTGCTGGCGAAGCGTTGCTGGCGCACCGTTGAAAAAACCGTTGGGAACGGTTCGAAGACGCGAAGACCGGGATGTCGACTAAAACTAGAGACCCTCATCCAGGTGCAGAAATAGCCTAGTTGACTCAAGTTGACTCAAGTTGACTCAAGTTGACTCAAGTTGACTCAAGTTGACTCAAGTTGACTCAAGTTGACTCAAGTTGATTGGAAGTTGATTACGGAGTTATACTAGCCTTTTTTTGGGGAGGGGAAACCGTTTTCATGTGCCCCAGGCTCTTCTGGTGCCATCCTGGCTGCGGTATGTCGCGGGAAGCTCTGCGAAGGTATTGTAGCCTTGGCTGCAATGCATTGGAGATGGGTCAAGTTAGCTATGAATTTACATGAATTTACCACATGACTGAATTTGTTGAAGGGAAAATCTACAGGAAACCATGGTTTTCCCCATGAAACATAGGGGGTTACTGTAAATTTTCCCTTCAACCAATCCAGTGAACCATATGAACCATATGAGTGGTGACTTTTTTGTTCACATCCATTAACCCATTAACCAACGATGACTATCCGGGTAGCATTGGTGGCTTTCTTCGGATTTTGACCAATGTTTATCCTCCCATTGGTCAATCCACTCTTTGAGGATCTACGATCGGGGAATCTACGTTGGGATTTTTCTTGAAATTAAGCAGTTTGATGATGTTAAATGATCCAGTGGTGAATGGAGGGAGCGCTTCGGAGCGGTTCGCGTGGTTTGTCAGTTGGGCTACAATCAGAGTCCCACAAGATACTAACTAAGTGGGCCAAGGGACGTCAAATGTCAACAAAAATCTTGGCTTTCATCCAAGTCTTTGTCGATCTGACAGCTCAATATTTTATATCTCATATCCCATATGCTCCATGGTGCTGGTGTATTTACCTACAAATCTGGGCCATTTATGGGGTAAATGATGGTAACTATTCCATACATGGAGCATATGGGTATGGATATTCATCCTATTTTTTGTCTCTCAGATGGATATTTTATATTTTTATGTGACAGCTCGTGTCGGCCTGCTTCAAATCATCCAATTTGCTCATCCCAGCGAAGCTTCGTCCTCCTGTAGATGTCCTTTTCAATCGGTTCAGCCTGTGAGCCGTTGCCCATGACATGAGCAGTGCTAGAGGGTTGTACTATCCAATCTGGATGAATAAGAATGACCTGATTGTGACATCACTGGAATGATGGTTAGTAACGGTTAGTAAGGGGACTCATCAGCAAATTGCCGACTATTTCCGCTATTTTCAGGTCAGTGCGTTACTACAGTTCAGCCGGAATCCAGTATATTGGGAGTTATCATCCACGATGGGAAATTCTATGAACCAGTACCAGTAGTACCGCACAAGGCGGTGGCGGAAGTTTCAAGGATAGGACACTATAGGAGAGGTGAGTTGTTGTGATGCATGGCAGAGCGAATCCACTGATGGACTGAAAGGTGGTTGGAGTTGTGTTTTTTGGAGTGGTTACAATGGTTGCAGTGGTCACCTCACCCACAACTGCTGGATGTGGTGTGGTGTAGTGCAGCTGTAGTTGTAGTTGTAGTGTAGTGAGTTGTAGTTGTAGTGCAGTGTATTTAGTTTAGTGTAGTTGTAGTTGCAGTTGTAGTTGTGGTGTGGTGTAATTAGTGTAGTGTAATGTAGTGTAGTGTAATTAGTGTAGTGTAATGTAGTGTAGCTGTAATGTAGTGTATTGTAATTGGTTTAATTTGTGCAGTGTAGCGTAGTGTGGTTGTAGTCGTAGGTGTAGTTGTTATAGTATTTGTAGTTGTAGGTGTAGTGCAGCTAGCGTTGTGTTCTGTAATTGGTGCAGTGTAGTGTAATTACTGTGGTGTACTGTAATTAGTGCAGTGTGGTGTAATTTGTGTAGCGTACTGTAGCGTAATATTTTTGGATTTGCATGTGTAGTTGTAGCTGCAGCATAGTGTAGTGTAGTGGTAGTTGTAGTTGTAGTTGTAGTTGTAGTTGTAGTTGTAGTTGCAGTTGTCTGTCTGTCTGTCTGTCTGCCTGCCTGGCTGCCTGGCTGCCTGGCTGCCTGTCTGCCTGTCTGCCTGTTTGTCTGTCTGGCTGTCTGCCTCTCTGCCTCTCTGTCTGCCTGTCTGCCTGTCTGCCTGTCTGCCTGTCTGCCTGCCTGCCTGCCTGTCTGTCTGTCTCTGCGAGACTTCCTCAATTTTTGACCTTGGCAGCATCAAAAAACGCAGCAATTCTGCGAGACTTCCGCAATTTTTGACCTTGAGAACGTCAAAAACGAAGCAGTTCTGCAAGACTTCCTCAATTTTCCACATTGACGACATCAAAAACGAAGCAATTGTGCTAGACTTCCTTCAAAATTGGAAAGTTGAGTGCAGAGCTGACGGCCTCGCGCCAATGCGTTTTGTTGCGATTTTTCCATTCCATCTGTCTAAAGTATTGCACTTGCCAGGAAAAAGTGAGGCCAGGTCATACAAAGTGCTGCACCTGTCACGCAGGATCACCTTAGCATTTTGGAACCCTTCTCAGGAAATCAGCGGCCCGATCCTAACATGTCTGACTCATGTGTCTCTTGTACTGTGCCTGCCACGTGAAATGCATCTTTGCAGATCCCTTCAAATGTCCCACCCCTACCAACATTTTTGAAATTGCTACAAAACCATCACGTTTTGCTCACTTTTGGCCGGGTGCAGAAGCCCTTGCGCCTGCCACACAAAACAACGCTTCAACGTCCAAAAGTGCTCCGAGGCACAGGCGTTTTGCACATTTTGACTTGGAAACGCGCTTCGCGCCACAACTGCGTGCACTTTTTGAACATCTCAACTTCCAAAAGTGCTCCGAGAATGGTGTGTTTTGTACATTTTTGACTTCGAAATGTGCTTCGTGCCGCAACGGCATGCACTTTTTCGACATGTCAACATCCAAAAGTGGTCCGAACCTGTGGTGCTTTTAGAATTTTGACTTCCAAATGCTTCGCGCCACAACGGCGTGCAATTGTTCCTCTCTCATCTCCCCAGAGGGCTCCGCACCCTCCGCTTTAGCGAGCCTACTTTTCGACTCCGGAGCCACAGAAGATTGGAGACACCGAGTGTTTTGCGACCTTTCTACCGTTTCGCGCACCTGCATCTTCTTTCTTCTGACTCTTTCTTCTTTCTTCTCTCTTCTCTCTTCTTTCTTCTCTCTTCTCTTCTCTTCCTCTTCTCTTCCTCTTCCTCTTCCTCTTCCTCTTCCTCTTCCTCTTCCTCTTCCTCTTCCTCTTCCCACCTCTGCTTTTTTCATTTGTCCATATTGTCGGAAGTTTGACTTCTAAACTTCCCAGCGAATTTTGATCATCCCCCCAAAATTGGATAGTACAAACCCCGTACAAATCAGTACTAATCATCAGCCAGCAGGGGTTTAGCCGCTCACCTGCGGCATCGCTCAGGATTTTACGGACAAACAGTGCCGGATGGTGGCCTCTTGGCTCTGATTCGGCCTCCAGAGATTTGTTACAAAAATGATAGCAGATACTTAGATGGACCATGGTGTGAGTTAACTAGTTAGCAAATGGATTCTAATTGGGATATAGGGGATTATAACCCCTGTTAGCTAATCCTATGGCCCATCTAAGTAGCCTAATGTACTGTTTTTGCTTTTTGCAAAGTCATTATATTATCTGTAGAGGTCGGAGAACGGCTGATCCAATAGATAGGGATACCGCCCAAGGCTATAATTATATGTAATCCGCAATCATAATAACAGCAAAGCGACTAATATATATGTATCTGTATATATATATATATATGGTGCTTGATCTATAGGTTCTTATAAAGAATTATGATTGCAAAGATAGTTCATGTTGTGTTTCCACACCTCGTGAAAGTTAGCTTTTTTCTTCCCCAACGTATTTTTTTATTGTGAGAGTGTTGCGAAAGTTAGATATAATCATTTCATCATTGTATGCTTACAGGGATGTTTTCGCGAAAGTTCCACAATAGTTACTGGAAGGAGCGGGCAAAAGCGAAAGTGCATTTTGAAGGGGTGGCCGAGCACGCCTTATACGTTTATTCAAAAATATACGCGATCAGCAACCATTCCGAGAAGAGATTCTGTGATGCCAGCTGCATGTTTAAAGCCTACCGTCTGGTAAACTAACATAGCTATTGGCAATGGCCATTTATAGCTGATTTGCCCATAAAAAAGGAGATTTTCCATAGTTATGTTAGTTTACCAGAGGGTGCCATGGAATAATCCATGATACTTTGGCAATGACTGGGTCTTCATAAGAGGGGTTGTTGCAAGCCTCGCATGGGCCCCGTGAAACATAAACATGGAGTTCGCGAAAGTTTAGCACAGGTAAAAGTTGATTTCGCGAAGAATGGCCGTTTCCGCAGTGAAAGAATTTAGATTCACACATGTATATATATATATATACATATATATATGACACTAGTGTCACAAGTACTACACTGTATGTATGAACATATCTCATATACATGTACATATAAATTGATATGTATTGGTATACAATCTTTCATATACACATATACATATTGTACATTGTATTATTATGTATCCACAAAATTTATAAGTATATATTTTCTCGCCTATATGACGTTACAATTGTTTTGTCGTGTAACATGCATTCTACAATATTAGATGCACCACAATATAGGTAGTTTTCTTTTTTTTTAATTACATCACGTATGTATGTAAGTACTGCTGAATCTCAAATGCGATTGTACAGCCTGATACATTGTCTTATCATTTCAACAACACATAAAACGTTAGATAAGCGATATATATATATAACACATGCATATAGACGTTTAAGGCATAACATAGTTATGTGATTTGCACTATATGTTATATGTTAAAATCTAATTAGCACAATATACCATCAAATGATCCATAGAGCAATATTTTCTTTAAGATACAGTGTATGTATTAAGTTTCTACTATTTGATATACAATATTGCATGTATATATACATTGAATATCTCATTTGCTGTCTCAGAGTATTCAGTATTTGATATGTACTTTAAACATATACAATACACACTATACAATAGACAACACATAGTTTGTAACAGTTGATAGGTCAAGAAAAACATTTGATGTATGATATTTAACATGTAGCATAAAACTAATACAATGCAATATGTGTTCATGCTTTTGTCATGTAATACATACGTAGAGTTCATATAATGAGGCATAATATGATTTGATCTAGTTGAACATCACTACGCATAGAATAACATAAGTTAACATAAGATAATGTAACACAAATTCATGTAATTGCAAAAAACAAAGCAGTAGTACAGCATAATATAGCACAATATGATCCAATGCAATATAGTATAGTGTATTTATATAATACATACAACATAGAGTACATATACAGACATATCACAAACACATTTTTTTGCATAATATACTGACCTATGTTTTCTTATATGCACCTAGATTATCCTAGATTTATGTTACACAATGGCCATGGTTCCGGCAATTTCTACGTTCACCCTGTTGATGGTCAACGGAAATTATGTTAAGGTGATGGTTGGGATTCCGTATCCCGCCAAGAACGACCTGCGCGTAATTTTGAAACAGGACCGCACAGTGAGGTTTGCGGGAGTCTCCCATGTGATGTCATCAGAATTCTTTCCCAAGGAAACATGAACCAAACACATCCAAAAACAATGGTTTCAAGACTTGGGGGTTCCGAAACGGGTTGCGATGGCACTTGGAGTCTGGTTCATTTCGTATCATGAGAGGAAACTTCAACCGGGTTGCACCTGATCTGAAACTGGGGGATACTTCAAAATTGTTCTGTTCAGGTGTAACCAGCCAATTTTGTGGTACCCAATTTGACATAATTTTCCCAGAAACCATGTGTCCTCTTCCGATTGCTGGCTTTGTGCTTGGTCAGGATTTCCTGAATCTTCAAGCACAAGGCCAAGGGCAATGTTGGTATCATCGTGAAGCCATGCGTGCGGTGAACCAGACATTGGGTCGAGTAATTCGACATCGAACTTCGGCTCAATGGGGGCACCTTTTTTTTGCAAAGGGCCCAAGGATGTTGTTGTTTTACCCTCTGGTAATTTAACGTAGCTATGGAAAATCACCATTTTTAATGGGAAAATCCACTATTAATGGCCATTTTCAATAGCTACGTTAAATTACCAGAGGGTATGTTCTGTGAGGCCTGTGATGATGGCGATGGTCTTGGCCATGGAAAAACAAACAAATTCCAAGGATAAACAATGCAGAAGGCCTTGAGGATTGAGCGGAATGAGTAGTGAGTGTTACTTGTATGCCAAGATTTTTTGACATCCGAATCAACCTGGTCTGACGACTTACTCAGAAACTTAGCACTACTGAAAGCTTCAGAAACCAGGATTTTCCATTATAACGCGTCCAGCTATCCGGGTACATCCATCTTGGGAAACTTTCGTTTTGTTGCGCCACACAGCAGTTTGTCCCAACCAGTGGCATGGGCGTTTTTCCACTTTTCCATGTCCAGGTGATGAAAACTGGTTACCCCATGACCATTCGCCATCACATGCTGTCCCTAGTCATTTGATTCTAATCTTCAAGAAAATTTGAAAAAACAAGAGGAGTCTGTGAGTGCCCTTGTAAAACAAGCCAGGCGACACCACCCTGACTGGCAGAGCTCCTATTTTCTAAGTGCTGAAGTTCTTGAGAAATCAGAAGAGGTAATAGGCAATTATGTGCTTTCAATGCATTACCATAGGATTGGGTCAGCAAAAACATGAGAAATTTAGGGCGATGATCATCCCAAACATGTACGACGGACACATCGCACCCTCCAACCTCCCCGGGCACCGATCTTGCTGATGTCGCCTACCAAAAACATCCGTGCGGGGGGTTAGCAGGCCGGTATTTTCAACATTGAAAGTCACAATCCCTTGCGCCAGTCAGCGAAAATTGTGTCTTTTTAGGCTCTAAGTTTTATCCAAAATCATTTTTGAAAAAATCACGTTTTACCAAAGTTTTAGAACCCTTCGTCGGTCAACTTCACTTTTTACCCCCACATCTTCGCTTGTTTTTTCAGTTGCTTGGCAGTCGCTCGCAGCATGCAATCCGTGCTGTGCTTTGTTGATCTCTGTTGATCTTGCCTTTCTTTCTGGTATGAATGCCCGGTGGAAGCTTATCTCTGATTTTCTTCCATGTGCAATTGATACCACCTGTGTGCACCCTCAAAGCTGGCTTTGGTCCTCGTCCCTTCGAACAATTTCTCCAGCAGCGTGATTCACTTTCTCATGTTTCAACTGGGATGTCTTTGACGAGGGGTATGCCTTTGCACCATCAGTCACCAAGTAAGATCCCTGTTTTTTAAATCTTCTGTTAGCAAGTGCAAGAGAGGATCTTGTTAACGTAGCATGAAGATAGATAGCAAGTGCAAGAGAAGATCTTGTTAAGATATGAAGATAGTTAGCTAGTGCGAAAGAAGATCTTGTTAACGTAGCATGAAGATAGTGTTCATTTGAAGAGGAACGTGAGTAGCCCACCCCAACCCCAACCCCCACCCCATACCACGCCAGCAAAACAATGAAAAATGTTGTCCGGTTCCCCCCGCTAGCTAAATTATACATCCTAAAACAAGGTCACGCGCGGGTATTTAACCTGGTCTCATTTGTGTCTTCGACAGCATTTCGTCCTGTAAAATACAGGAGTTTGTGTTATTGGGGTAAATTTAGCCGTCGCGGCGCGTTTCGTTTTCACTCATTTCAATTTTCCGAGGTGAGACTTCAAGTCTGCAGTGACTGGTAAGTGGTATCGCCAAACAAAGGCATGCATATACAAAATCAATTTTTGATTCAAACCACCTTTGGACCAGTCTTTGTTGTTCAAAGAGGAAGGAATGAAACGGTCAAGCGATTGCCACCATCTGTCCACTGCTTGAGTTCCAGCAATGGTGGCTCCAGGTTTCTTCCAAGTTTTCAACTTTCGAGTGAACTGTTGTTTTCGATGCGTAACTGGAAAATTTTTGATCCTTTTCTCTTTGCACAGGCTCTCCCACGCTTTGGCTCCATCACTATAGAGACGGATTTTTTTGGAATCGCCTAAAAAGGTCATGATCTTGGATTGAACAATTTCAGACTTGGATTCCACAGGTGGACTTGCACCTGGAGGCACTAGCTTGAATGGTAAAACCTTCAAAACAATGTTGCCACCTCGTTTTGCAACCGGCCCCATGTAACTTCTGGCTTTCAAACCAAGTACTCGGAAATGTGCTTGCCAATACTTGGGCACCGGCTTGAACGGCTTTGCTTTTTTGGAAGCGGGTAGCAGCAGCAGCAACTTCTTTTTCCCCACATTGACGTGTGGGGTTTTTGTTTTTAGTTCTGTATCCGCTCCTCTTCCTCCTCCTCCCGCCGCCTCGCCTCCCGCCTCACTCACTCACCTCACTCACTCACTCACTCACTCACTCACTCACTCACTCACTCACTCACTCACTCCACTCACTCACTCACTCACTCACTCACTCACTCACTCACTCACTCACTCACTCACTCACTCACTCACTCACTCACTCACTCACTCACTCACTTCACTCACTCACTTCACTCACTCACTCACTCACTCACTCACTCACTCACTCACTCACTCACTCACTCACTCACTCACTCACTCACTCACTCACTCACTCACTCACTCACTCACTCACTCACTCACTCACTCACTCACTCACTCACTCACTCACTCACTCACTCACTCACTCACTCACTCACTCACTCACTCACTCACTCACTCACTCACTCACTCACTCACTCACTCATCTCTCTCACCTCACTCACTCCACTCACTCACTCATCACTCACTCACTCACTCACTCACTCACCACTCACTCACTCAACACTCACTCACATCCATCCTCACCATCCTCTCAACTCACTCACTCACTCACTCACTCACTCACTCACTACTCACTCACTCACTCACTCATCAAGGGGTCACGGATGTACGCCCTGGTCCCTTGGGTCTCCGCCGCTTTTGCGTGGCAGGCGTGGGACAATGTGCACTGCCAAGGGGTCGGATGTACGCCCTGGGTCCCTTGGTCTCCGCCGCTTTTGCGTGGCAGGCGTGGGACAATGTGCACTGCCAAGGGGTCGGATGTACGCCCTGGCGTCCCTCCGGTCTCCCTTGTCCTTGTCTCCGCCGCTTTTGCGTGGCAGGCGTGGGACAATGTGCACTGCCAAGGGGTCGGATGTACGCCCTGGCGTCCCTCCGGTGTCCCTCCGGTGTCCCTTGGTCTCCGCCGCTTTTGCGTGGCAGGCGTGGTGGCACGTGGGACAATGCGCACTGCCAAGGGGTCGGATGTTACGCTCCTGGCGTCCCTCCGTGGTCCCTCCGGTGTCCCTTTGTCTCTCCCGGCCTCCTTTTGCCGTGGCAGGCGTGGGACAATGTGCACTGCCAAGGGGTCGTAAGTACGCCCTTTTGGCGTCCCTCCGGTGGTCCCCTCCGGTGTGCCCTTGGTCTCCGCCATTTTGCGTGGCTATGGCGTGGACAAAGTGCACGCCAAGGGGTTCGGATTGTACGCCCTGGCGTCCCTCGGTGTCCCCTTGGTCCTCCGCGCCTCTTTTCGTGGCAGGCGTTGGGACCAATGTGCATTGCCAGGGGTCGGATGTACGTCCCCTGGTCGTCCCTCCTCCGGTGTCCGCCTCCGTGTCCCTTGGTCTTCCTCCGCCGCTTTTGCGTGGCAGGCGTGGGACAATGTGCACTGCCAAGGGGTCGGATGTACGCCCTGGCGTCCCTCCGGTGTCCCTTGGGCTCCGCCGCTTTTGCGTGGCAGGCGTGGGACAATGTGCACTGCCAAGGGGTCGGATGTACGCCCTGGCCTCCGGTGTCCCTCCGGTGTCCCTTGGTCTCCGCCGCTTTTGCGTGGCAGGCGTGGGACAATGGTGCACTGCCAAGGGGTCGGATGTACGCCCTGGCGTCCCTCCGGTGTCCCTCCGGTGTCCCTTGGTCTCCGCCGCTTTTGCGTGGCAGGCGTGGGACAACGTGCACTGCCAAGGGGTCGGATGTACGCCCTGGCGTCCCTCCGGTGTCCCTCCGGTGTCCCTTGGTCTCCGCCTCTTTTGCGTGGCAGGCGTGGGACAATGTGCACTGCCAACTGGTTGCTCCAGGGCCATACCGGAGAAATCCATCAAGTGGTCTTGGCCCAGACAGAGCACATCGAAGAGTGGAGTGTCCTCTGGCATGTCCCCGTGGATGCAGCCGCCAAGGTCACCGTCACGGCCTACTTTCACCGACTGGCCACGGCAGAGCTGACAGTAGATGACCCCCTTATGTTTGAATCCAAATGGACGCCTGTCAAGAGGCTTCATGTCGTCAGAGACAGCATGCCGGAAGAGGCACGTAGCTCCACAGCTTGGACGAACACACTGCCGGCGTCATCCGAGGTCGCAGCCACCGGATTGGACGAACCGATGTGAACTGATGTTTGTTCCGCAGCAGTCAGTCGGAGACTGGTTCTGAAGCGTCTTGCTGATTTTCCTGGCTCCGCATGTTTGCGCAAGCATGCCCAGTCGCAGCCACCCGATCCAACGAAGAGATGTGAGCTTTGGCTTGTTCCGCAGCACTCAGTCGGAAACGGAACTTGAAGCGTCTTGTTGATTTGCCTCGCTCCGCGTGCTTGGGACAACGTAGCTGCTCACAAAGACATTTCTCGGATTTGGCTCCTACATTTTTTGCAGTTTTGTGCAACTTCACGCAACATGTCGACTTCGCAGAAAAAAAAGCAAGGCATTTCGACATGTCTGATTGTTTGCAAGTCTAGCATGGCTTCTGGTTGCATGCTGCGTCGCCATGATTGAAAATTACGCAAGTCTGTGATGCTCTTATATGCATCTCCGCTGTCATGAGGCCACGACCCTGGACTCGAGCGGACAGGCTCCGATGGATCACTGAGCTGGACCGTTCCAGTGTTTTCACGAGCTGGGATCTCAGTGCGATTTTTTCTGTCGAGATTGTAGACAACAATCTGGTTTGGCTCACTCTTCCTCACTGATATCAATCTGGTTTGGCTCACTCTCCATCACTCTCACTCACCGTGACTCACTTTCCATGCGCTCCACCAACCGACCATGAAAGTTTTGCAGGTGTGTGATGCTTCTTTGCATCTGCGTTTTCGTCAGGCCAGGGCCCCGGGCACTGGTGGGGGGAAGAGAGCGATAGGCTGCTGCCACATCTTGTTGCAGTCATGCGATTACAGTTTGTAACCAAAAGATGGATACAGCCTAGGATAAGAGTCTCAGTGCAAGGTACCGTCAGGACCCAGGACCCTAATCCCAGCAAGATTCTGGAAGGGAGCATCAGGGCAACCCCATTATATGAGATCGTGGTACTGACTTTGTCCCATTATATTTGATATCGTAGCACTGAGTTTGCCCCAGCCCACCGACCTCCGCCTCCTGCCAGGTCCGCCCGTTTATATTTTTTGGGGAGATGGCAAACCACCTTGGTTGGGGGGCCCCAAAGCACACGCCCGTCATTGCATATCGATACACGTTGGTTTCGCGTCGCATCGTTGTCCTTCTTTCTGGTTCGCATGGAAACGGGACTTCGCCACCTTACCCCTCGGCACATGCACACACGATACAAGGTATACGTGTCCAGGCTCCTCCTCAGGTCTTATGATTTTAAAAGGAAGTGATGGTGTACCATGGCCTTGCCATCAGCCACGGTACATCTATTGTCACTTCCTCCCAATTGAATCTATGATAACCTTCGGCCTGTAACCCCGGTTCCCCCCGATCTCTTGTTGTGGGCAGATAGGCCTCTCTCTGGACGGACGGACTTTTCTAAGTAAAAGAAAAGCAAAAACTATTTTCTGTTGCTTCTTCAAAGTGATCCCCTTTGAGAAGGTCCATTGACCTTTTTTGGGATTGATCGAGTGGCCTCAAATTGATGGTTGACGAGGTCATTTTGAAGAAGCAAGTAACTAGCTATTTGCTGGAGAAGAACATCACGGCGATCACCAAGGTCATCACAGATGTGTGAAGAAAAGGGTGAGCAAGGAGAACAACAGCTACCTTGCTGTTTTGAAGCCAGGAGAAACACCTCGCCACTGCCCAGGCGAAACAGATGGACGCGTTACAGTGGCTGGCGGTGGTGTCATGTGGTTCCCACCTATCAGCAGACAAACTCAACATGTACACACACGAGACGTGTGACTGGCTATCTGCCTGCGAGGGTATCCACCTCCGTCCAAAACGCGACGGACGACCAGGTTGTCCTCGTGCGCGCTTTGGTTCAGCTGCTGCAAGCAGTAATCGCGTCAAGCTGTTGCAGGACAATCTCGGGACTGACAAAAGTTTTAGTTAGGCTCGCCATGACATTACACACTTGGTCACGTATTGTGATGCGGTGCATATCGTCGAATCATTGTCTCACAGCTATGGAATATTTCGATTTGACAACCTTAGCGATTTGCTTACACTGTTCAAATATATATATATATTATATTTCAAATATATATATTATATATGTAACTATTGCCCGTTCCTATTACAATATTCTCAGGGGCTAGCGGCTAGGATGGTTCCCCCACCTTGGCGGGGGGCAGGTCGGTTCGGCGCCTGACTCAGCACCTCCGTGAGCAACTACTCCAAGGCAGGCTCTTGCCTCTGGGCTGCAGCTCCAGTTCCGGGAGTTTTGACGATGAGTTTTTTTTTTAAAGAAATTGGACGAACCGATGTGAACTGATGTTTGTTCCGCAGCAGTCAGTCGGAGACATCATCATCATCATCATCATCATCATGATCATGATCATGATCATGATGATCATCATCATCATCATCATCATCATCATCATCATGTGCCAGCGATGTTTACCAGCCACAGGGCATGCAGAAAGAATTCACAAAATGTGCGGCTGCGCTCGAAAGAGTGCAGAACATTACTTTGGTCAGCGAAAGTATGGTGAGCACACCATCGTTTTGATAAGGAGCCAAAGCCTGGTTCGGTCAACAGCAGAGAAACACAACACAAGCGCCAGAATGCATAACGCAAGCGCCTTAGGAGCCAAGGTCTTGGGTTGCGAGGTGCTGGCCTGAGGCACACCATCGTTTTGATAAGGAGCCAAAGCCTGGTTCGGTCAACAGCAGAGAAACACAACACAAGCGCCAGAATGCATAACGCAAGCGCCTTAGGAGCCAAGGTCTTGGGTTGCGAGGTGCTGGCCTGAGGTTGTTTTGAATGTGTGTTGAACATAATATGGTGTTCAATATGTCAGGCACACCAACAGTTTGTTCCCCACACACACACACACAAACTCACCTACCTACATACATACCTACATACATACCACCATCGTCCCTCCATCACTCTCATACTTCCTCTTCCCTTCTCGCTTTCTCTGCTCAGTCTAAGTCTAAAGAAGTTGGTAACATGTGGGGTTATCCGGTCCTTTAATTGAAAGTGAGGGTTGTTTTGGCCGACGTACAGTTTGCGAAGACCATGCGCGTCTGCTTCGATGTCTCCCACCAGGCGTCTTGTTGCATTTTGTGTCCGACAGAGTTGTTCTCCCGCCCTTGCTTCCGCAGCTTGCAAAGCTTCATATATGTGCTCCACTGCACATCTGGCGAGCTTCAGCTGAGATTGGGCATCTGCTACACGGGGAGCTTCCATCAAGCGTGATCTGCTGTAAAAGGACTCAGGACTTACCTCCGTTTCAAGTCTTGACAGCATGTGTATATATATATATATATCTTGGAACGTATCTATAGATGGTTTCACAAAGACACATCAAACATTATATTTCTTTTCTCTTTTGTAGATAGACATATATTAAAGATATATGTATATAATATATTTTTTTCTTTATTGACTTATATTCGTTTAAGACAAATATATACATGATAAATCACGTTCTGAGCAATCGTCATGGCTGAGGCAGCAAATCTGGAATGCGTTTCTTTTGCAACGCAAAAGAGTGGAAGTCAGAAGGTTAAGCACGTGTTTGTGGACCGGGCTGCAATTGAAATTTCAAAGTTTTTTTCATTTCCTTTTGCTGCCTGATCAAACTTGGCGGTGGCTGAGGGGCGTCGAATATATTCGTTTCAAGATACATATGGTCACTATGTTGAGAAGAAATGGAAAAAGTCGCAGCGTACAACATACATGCTGTTAGTGGCATATGGTAAGTATGGAAGATAACAACACAATCTCTTGCAAGGCTTCATATATGTGCTCCTTATCATCCCACCCCACCCCATTCCACCCAAGACGTAGCATGACCTAGCCAAGTTGGTAGCACCAGGACATGACGTCAACGTAACACCAGGACATGACGTCAACGTAACACGACGTTACCATCCCACCCCACCCCACCCCACCCCACCCAAGACGTAGCATGACCTAGCCAAGTTGGTAGCACCAGGACATGACGTCAACGTAACACGACGTTATCATCCCACCCCACCCCCCCCCACCCAAGACGTAGCATGACCTAGCCAAGTTGGTAGCACCAGGACATGACGTCAACGTAACACGACGTTATCATCCCACCCCACCCCACCCCACCCCACCCACGACTAAAATACCCAAAAAACGCCCAAAACTACCAGGTTATTTATCAGCACGCCTCCAAAAACAACAGTCAGGCATGGAGTCATCAATCTGAGCATTGCAAAGCACTACACCCGATGTTGCTGCATATAGTTGGTTAGTGCTTTTACCCCTGAAATGTGAGTGTTCATCTCTATCCGAAAATGGTCACGAACAGATCGACTTGAATCCGAAGTATTGTGAGGTTTCCCAATCATGAAAGCAGCACAGTGCGGGACGTCACGCCGTTTTTTTTTACTTGGTCGGTTTTTTCCCACACTTCCGCAAGATTTGTGGAACGAGACCAGAGACCGACTCGAAATCAGGCAACGTCGTTTTTTTTTGCCATCTTTGGAAATAAACACATGGAAGAACGGATCTGGCCCGGTGCGCCGCTGTCGGTAGCCAGGTAGTGCACATTGCCGCAAGGATTTCCAGTTTTCAACTGATCTCCACAGTCCACTGTCGCAACGTCTGCGTGGTTTGCACCGCGTGGCTGAGGAAAGGACTATGGTGCTGTGATCCTATGTGACGCTCGTTTTTCGCGCTCTTTGTCTGGTCTATCCAGTTGGTTGCGGCCACAGGTGACCAAAGGGGTGACTGTAGACGTTTGAAGTTTGCAAATGTGTGGGGCGGTCCAAATTGGATCAAATAGGTTTTATGCTCCTCACATATCAATATGAATCTTCAAGATATTTTCCGATTCTCTGAATAAATGGTAGATTGACACAATCGACTGAATTCCCTGATGTCATCATCATCCACTTGCAATGCGTTTCAGAGGCTCGCCTCTGTAGGTTGAACATGGTTTTTCACACAGACACACAGAATTGGCAGCATGACTGTCCTTTCTATGTTACTTCATCCTGTAGCAGCTAGATTCGAAACGTATCTTTCATTAATGTACTCCATCCTGTGGTAACTAGGGATCCGCAAAGTATGGAAGACCATTGGTAACTAGGGATGCAACGGACTCAAATGTTTGTTGAATCGTGGTTAAGTTGCAGCGATGTCATAAGGCAGGCAAGTTTGTTTGGCATTGAATTGGAAGATTTTTTCGAAACCCTAAAAAACCCAGATCGATTCCAAGTTCGCAGGTTCGCCCCAGGACATTGGAGGCTGCAGTGCAGGACGGCATCAGACATACCAAAAAGCTTTGGATGAACATTTACCATGGATGATATTCCTAAATTTGATGGATGATCATTATTTTTCCAACTAAATATTGTTATTTTGTATTATGTTCATATATTGGGGGGTGGAACCCCATTTTCAGACAAAACCATATCTAGGCAGAAGTTTCGGGATACAGTACACTTAAGGGTCACCCATCAACCCATTGCTCATCCATATTCCACGTTGATAAATGACATGATCTTGGTTCACCCCGTGCCTTTTATGCCACATTTCCAGCAACATCTGGCCATATCTACCACAGTTGGCATTGAATGCATGGACTGAGTTCAAGTTGGAGGATTTCTGGATCAGCCAACCTTTGAAAAAGGGATGGGTGTTGAGAAGATTTTTCGAAGGCCTTAGTTTTGATATGGAAGTTTCCAAAGTCATGGGGGTACCCCCAAATCATCAATTTTAATAGGATTGTCCATTATAAACCATCCATTTTGGGTACTTACATTTATGGAACCCCCTATATGTTTTTGAGTAGCTTCTGGATATCTTCGGCATCGTGAAGCATGCATTGGAGAGATGCCGCTACGGGATAGTAGTAACTACATGGAACGACTTCAGATATTTTCGACAGTAGCCTGCAGCTAATGCAGAAATTCCCCGTGAATGGATCTGCGTCAGGATAGCAATATTTCTCTGGTTGGTGGTTTGGAACATTTTTTATTTTTCCATATTATATAATATATATATATACATATTGGGAATGTCATCATCCCAACTGACGAACTCATATTTTTCAGAGGGTAGGGCTCAACCACCAACCAGTTCCGGCTAGCGGCTAGCACCATACTGTTCACATCCACGTCTGGACGGCTTGTCCATATTCCATATTAGGGTCGGGATAAAATCCCCGGGGATGTTGGATGGTTTTGGTCCATATCTGTAAACCATTCCATTTGGGGGTAGACAACTTTGAACGATACCCACATCGCCAAAAAAGGTGCACCTTGTATCAACTTATAACACTTGAAAAAATCCAGTGGTTAGGAGGGAGCTGAGGAGCTATTGGTATCTATATTCCCTCTTAAAATAGGGAGCCAAGGAGCTACGAAGAGTTTTCCAACCACATGATTTATGACATGTCTTCAGTGTAGAGGACTGTCGACGCTTCTTCGGACGGCCCATTCTCTTGCGCGAAGCGGATCAAGGTAGACCGCTCTGGGATGATCACTGATTCCAGTAGCCTACTGCTTCCCTTTGTTTCCAAGGTGGGTTGACTTGTTTTTTAAAGCTTGGATGCTTCCAGCTGATGTAGCCAGTATCGAAGAAAAGTCTTGATGAAATTTATCAATATTTATCAGATGAGATACCCAGTAACATGAGATAATCTTTTGAAACTCCTGATATGCCTCCCTTTTTATACCTTTTTCACGTTTGATCTTGAGACGAGTTAATTTCTAGAGGAGTTGAAACTTGCCTTCAACCACAGAAGCTATGTGTAAGCCGTGCCTTGTTTGGCACTAGTTGAATCACCAGATTGGTAACCAACAAGGTACAGGCTTCCTGTAAGAAGTGCTTCACATTCAAATTCACGATTTCGTTCCAAAATTGGGTTCTACCAGTTACATCCCCCATTTCATGAGTGGTTTATCCTCTGGTAAACGTTTACGTAACGAACTGGAAAGATCCACCATGCTATTAATGGAAAAATCCATTATTTCTATGGTCATTTTCAATGTCGCAAACTGTTAGTTTACCAGAGGCTAGTTGGAAAAATAGGAATATCATCCATCAAATTTAGGAATATCATCCATGGTAAATTTGGTAAATGGTACCAATGTTTACCATGGTGAAAATCCCGATCTTCACCGCCACGTTGCCCGAAAACCACGACTCGAAAACCACGAGGCGTGACACCGGTGACGACGCCGCCCTCAACTGCCACGGCCACGGCCACCGCCACGGCCACGGCCACGGCCAGCGCGGGGCGCAAGAAGGAGGCGGATGCGACGGATGACCCAATGATGATAAATGTCGACTAAGAATATTCATATTTTACATTTTTTGTTTACATATATATTATATATATTATATATTATATATATATCTATTATATTATATATATATTATATTTTATGTGTAAATGCAAAATGACATATGATATACTGATACATGTAAGAGATGATGATGTAGACGGACATACATGTGTATGTACATACGTACGTACGTACCATGCATGCATTGGATGTTTTTCAAAGGGGCTTCTGAATGTTGCTTTTGGTAAGAAGCCTTTGTGACAAGGCGGTGCGGGAATGTTAGCACGAACGAGGAACGCTTGAAATGGTACAATCGAAAAGCGCCACGAGCAACTGACAGATTTTTTTGAGCAACATGTCGATGCGTACCAACCTTTTATATTCGGCAACACTGAGTATTCCATGGTGTGGTGTCAAATCTCAAGCGGCATACGGGGACGTTCAGGGCCTGGCTGCGAGATTTGGGTCACTGACCTGGTTTCACTTGGTCCATGCCTGATCTGCTGGGTTCCTGGTTTTAAGTTTGATAAAGTCCTGCCCTTTTTGGTCGTCTCCAGAAAAGTCATACTCATGTCACATTGTCATCCAATATTCGGAAGAAATCGATGAATCAAGATTGCCATCAAAGAGCCACAAGATCCTTCAAAGTGGACAGATTTGACATATGACATGGATGAATTTTACCCTCTGGTAAACGTTTACCGAAAACAATGGAAAATCACCATGCTATCAATGGGTAAATCCACTATTTCGACTGGGCCATTTTCAATGTCGCAAACTGTCAGTCATTACCAGAGGCTAGTTTTTTCAAAATGATGATCATCCATCAATATCCATCAAATTTAGGAATATCAATGAATATCATCCATGGAATCCATGGTATATTTTGACATGGATGAATTTTAACAGGGGTTGGTTTGCCTGTCCCATTTTGGGTATATTGGACATCACCTTATAATAGCCATCTAGTAGACCATATACCGATTTTGGTTGGGTGATGTGAAAAATGGGGACATCAGTCATGACCCATGTTTAACAAATTGGACTTCCCGTTGTGACTTCGTCCTCCAATGAGCTCCACCCGAAAAGCGCCCCGCCGTTGATCCGATCAACGGCGTAGGCCTTGGAGCGAGCCAAGGAGATTTGGAGGACTGGCCGCACGCCAGGTGCCCGGGGTGCCCGGGGTGCCCGGGGTGCCCGGGGTGCCCGGGGTGCCCGGGATGCCCGGCTGCTTTTATGGCCCATAGAAATAGTGGATTTACCCTTAATAGCATGGTGGATGATACATGATTTTTATAAAATATAGTGGATTTATAGTGGATTATAGTAAATTTATAGTTTTTTTTTTTTTTAAATAGTGGATTTACCATATCATGATCATTAAAATGGTGGATAATACATTATTATTGGTAAATGATAATGATAGCAATATTATCATGGTATACCATTGAAGATAGCCTCTGGTAATGACTAACAGTTTGCTATTGAAAATGGCCCAGTCGAAATAGTTGATTTACCATTAAACATGGTGGATCTTTCCAGGCCCTTGAATTCAAAAAAACAACGGTTTGTTATGACCCTTGGGATATTTGTTATACAATATTTGATATGTTAATTTTCAATATCCTATAACAAGAATAATGGACATAGTTGGGATATGTGATGATATGTGCTATGTTAGAAAAAAATGGTGGTTCTACTTTTTTTTTGTAATATGTTACTAATATATATATATGTTATATAATATATATTACTAATTTGTTGTTTGATGTTTGTGACGCCACACTGACTTGCTGTGATGTCTGGATCCGTTGTTCAAACATGGAGGTGACGGAGCTGCAAAACCTCGCCGTGCAAAGCCGGCGACCCCCCAGGCGATGAATGGAGATCATGGAGTATCATATATATTTATATATATCACCATTTTCCATAGGAAAACCATAGGAAAATGGTGATTTAATGGTGATTTAATGGTGATTAATCCATGATTAATGGTGATTGATGATTTACCCTCTAGTTATTTAACATAGCCATGGAAAATGGCCCATAGAAATGGTGATTTTCCATGGCTATGTTAGTCATAACCAGATGGTTATATATATATATATGATTCATTTATTATTATTTTTGGCTATTGTATTTATTTATCTGGTTATTGTATTTATTTATATGGATATTGTTGAATATGGTGATCGTGCCTAATTATTTGATCATAATTTAGTGATGTAATATTACATTAATATATGAATGTTCCATGTGGCTTGAAAGATATTCAAGGCTTCGCCTGCTTCGGGCAATATATTCCCGGTGGCAATGTGATTGTCAGTGTCTTGTGAATGTGCTACGTGATACGTTCAGAGACTAATTGAGATCATCTTAAACAATACAAAACCAATCCAGTCGCATAATATCGCAAAAATCATCGAAGCTGGATTTGCTGCCTTGGGCCTTTGCTGTGGCTCTCACATCCTACTGTTAGACCAAAGGTCGAAATATGGCCCTGGCCACTCTGGCCATGGGCTCGAATAGCCAGGACATTCTTCATACATACTGTGGATGGAAGAAATCCTGCACCAGTTGATGGTTTATCCCACTATTTATAGCAACCATCAAAGGTGATGCAGGATTTCGCAACCATCCACCGTAGGAAACCGTAGCGAACCGTTTCTTACAGACAAAGCTGCCAAATTTTCTCATCCACCGGAAGGTGACAACTGCCAAGAGTGGACAGCTTGAGTGTGGCGCCTAGAGACAGCCTGCAGAGCCAAAGGGCCACCATCGCACAGGAATCGTTTTGGCTTCCTGCACGTTTGTTCAGTTTGTTCTCTTATTCTAGCAATTTAATGACTGTGTCGAGATAAAAGTCAGGCTGAAATCCGGTCTTATGCCCAGAAGTCTGAGCTTTTGCTTATTTCTCTTTGGTTTGTGAGGTACTCATCCCTGCAAATCTTTGTGATCCTTCGAAATTGCTGAATTCTTGCAGTTTGCAGGTGTAGCTACAATATGCTCCAATCAGCAAGATACAATTTTTGCCCATGATGTTCAAACATGAGGCGTTTTTTTGAGGTAAAAAACCCTGGTGGTTTGTTTCTGTAGAGAATCCATGATGATTCAGTGAGGTCACACATGAAGAGTCCCTTTCAGCCAGTACGCCCAGTAAAGGCCAGTTTTTGGAGTGGTTTCAAGGTGAGAATTCAGCAGATTTGTCGTGTTTTTTACTTGATACCACTTGGCCCTGGCGATACCAACACAAGAGTTTTCTTGGCTTAGGTTGAGTTGGTTTTGAGTGGCTGAACATCTGAAGATATCTGAAGATATCTGAAGATATCTGAAGATATCTGAAGATTCCAATGATTCCAGCATATTCCAAGTACTGCTTACACGTCAATGGCATTTTCCTTCCCGGATGGCATTATGAAATCGCTGGGGCAATTTCATGTAGCCAGCTGGGAACCCTGTTGCCAAGTGTAAGCGGTTATACCGTAAGTTGTATTATGGTTTTGACAATGCACTGAAAATCTCAACCATTATGATCTCCATTTTCCAAGAACTCAATGTTTTTTCAGTAGAAACATGTCGATAAAATTTCCCATGATTTCTATTGGGGTGATTTCCCATGTTTGTTCAATAGAAACATGTTGATAAACATGATTTTTCAATGGAAACATGTGGGATTGGGGTGATGTTCCAACGATTTCCCATGATATTCTTGGGATTTCCCATGTGTTTTTGACGTAGGAGGCAGAGTGGCTGCAGAGTGCAGCCACTTTATTGCCTCAAATGGTGCCTTGGCTTGATAAGATGATCATAAGATGTTGCTCCAGTGAGACATGTATAGTATACATACATATATATAATGATATAATATAATATAATATAATATAATATATAATATAATATAATATATAATATAATATAATATAACATATGAATATAATATAATATATATGTATGTAGGCCAACACAAGTCAGATGTATCTAATCCTGGTACTTGTAATTTTCTGCTGTTTTGGCTTTCAACAACCTCAAGTTTCCCGTTGCAGCTACTGTGTCCATCTTTTTGGCCTGTGAAATGGCAGTGAAATATCATGACCCATCATAGCCTCAAGGGACAATGAGAATTTCCCATGACATCTATTTCCGGATGCAGGAAAAATTGGAAAAATAGGGCGTTGGCTACCAGATGCTGCAGGTTGCGTGGCGTAGGCTCATTTAAGTCTACATTGTGCTTGCGTAGAGAGCCTTTTACAACAATTGAATGGCGCCTCAGCCGAATAACCCGGCACAAATTGAAAGGTTGTGATGGATCCGTTGATCTTCCATTGGTCGCGCATGCGCGACATTGTCATTTGGTGGTTTCACCCATGGGTATGTCAATCATGACTTCTATACAGGCGGAGTAGCCCCCAGCGTCCTCCAAGTTTCATAGGAACTCGTGATGCCAAAGAAAACAGAAAGATTCATAGCTGCGTACGTCATTTTGGCGTAGTTTTTGGCGTTTGCACCCGAAAAAACACCCTGCTAAAAGGTCACATGTGATCACCCAGAGAAGGATGTCATTAACACTATGGACCATTTATGGATCATTTATGGATCATTTATGGATAATCTAACTCATAAGTGAGTTCAGCACAGACACAGTTTGGAAAACTGGGAGTCACCCGGAGGAATTTTCACCACAACTGGGCTCCTCTTGCTCCGAGGTGATGATGGAGTTGAAGAAGCACCTAGAAGTCCTCTGGAGCGCAGAGACTTGGCGTGAAATTGCTGTGAAGCTTGGGCACTTTTCAAGATGTTTCATGGAAAAAGGAGAAACATTGGATATCTAATAATATTATAGAATATTGTAGAATATAATAGAATATTGTAGAATATAATAGAATATTGTAGAATATAATAGAATATTGTAGAATATAATAGAATATTGTAGAATATAATGGAATATTATAGAATATAATAGAATATTGTAGAATATAATAGAATATTATAGAATATAATAGAATATTATAGAATATAATAGAATATTATAGAATATTGT